GACGAGGCTAGGAAGGTGCGAACCGCACAAAGAGAAGCAGGCGCCCTCGACTCGTGCCGGCTGGGCAGGCTCGCTTCAGCAGGGGTCCGCCCCAATTTGGGTATCGGTACGTAGGTGCCAAGTACAGCATAGACGCACGGTCCCAGCAAGCAGGCACACCTCCCACGCACTTTCCTGTGTGCGGGACTCGGCAGGGGTCCTGCCTGCTTTGCTGCTCCCGCTTCCTGCTCCCGCTTCCTGCTCCCGCTTCGATGCTGCATCTCACCAAATCACCCGTTGTCATGATGCTCATTCTCATGATTGTGGTCCACCACCCAGGACCCCCAAACTCCCAAGTGGATGTCATCCCTCCAGTCTGACGCGCCGGTACATCAGCTCGCCTACCTTACCTTAACCAAGCACCTGGGCGAATGCCGCGTCGTGATGCAGCAGACTGCCTCCACCCCTTCTCGTCGAATAATTCCGGGGTTAGAGAAGGACGAGTCGGGCTGACGGCAATCCATGGCATCGTGGGATCAGGTAGTCAAGGTGGGGTGGGACTTGTTCCCCGGAAGCCCAATGCCATGGGTTGCAAACGGTCAGCGCCAGCAAAATTCCAGCCTCACCTTCCAGCACCTAAAAGAAGCAACCCAGGTACCACCGCTATTCATCCTGAACACCAGCCTGGAATGGAAGACAGCATCATGGCCATGTCGTGCTCCCACGCACGCAGCCATGTGGAACCAGCCAGCCCATTCATTCACCATCGGCATCAGCAGCTCAGGTCATCGGTGCCCTATTCCTATACATCGCTGCGAATACTTCGCTAGGAAAAAGACGGCACCCTGCGCTGGTCGTTACATGGTCATTGCTGCCGCCAAGACGTCTCGAGATCAACCTGCCTCAAGAAATTGGCCAGCAAAGCCTGATCGGACCACGCCCGGGCGCCATGCTCGACGTCTAATGAGGCAGTGTGAAGATAAGAGAAAGCATCCAGTCAATCACAGGCACCACCATAAACGTCAATCGAGTATCAATCGAGTATCAATCGAACCCCCCCGTTGGCCAGCCATTCAGCTGACTCACCAAAATCTGCCGCGTCTCACTGGTCGTGCTGCGCGGGAGTCCAGAATCTGGACGTAATGCTATCACAGCATGCGAACTGGCCCCCCTGGTCCGCCTATTACCAGTACAGGGCTCACGCTCGTCTCCATTTCACTCATTCCCGGGGATGGCCATGCTTCTTCAAGGACCTCAAATTCCCCCATTGTCCAGTTGTCATGACATTCTCGCCTCGTCACGCTTCGTATCGAATCCCGCGATAACGCGAATTTCTCTTGGAAGGGGGCCTCCTGTGGGATTTCCTCTGTCGCGAGAGCCTTCGACTGGATGGCAAGAGTTGAACCGCCCACTCGACAATGCTTCTTCGCAATGCCCAGCCTGCCCAGGATTCAGCTTCGACCAATGGTCCCAGTCTTGGTACGGATCTACCGTTCCTGACAGGACCTTTTTACATCTCATCAACAAATCGCCACGACTCATCAACTACACTGTAGCGAACGCTGCAGCGGCGGCAGACAGGCGAATACCAGCGACATCGGATCTCCGTCATCTGGAGAAGTCTGGTTCGTCTCATCGGACGGTGAACACACCGCTCGCGATCTGCCAGCTTATGCTAGGCCCTCCGCTGTCGCTCGCCCACGCGCTGGAAAGGCACACACACACACACACACACACACACACATCTCATTATGTTACGCAACAGTTTGTTATTGTCCTGACAAAAGGGCAATCCTCGGCCGAGCTGCCAGCCAATGCGGTGCCTCCCTTCTTGGCTCCATCCACTCCAGGAAAGCTTAGCCCTCAAGGGGGGAGACACGGGTCGATCGTTCAGGACAGGGGGGGCATGTGTCCTCGGCTGTGCACTGGGCTGCCGATGCCCAATGGAGCGCTGCGTTTTGAAGACTGACGGTATTCAAGATTCGATTCCCTTCATAGTGTCTTGTAGGCTCGTGCTGGTTATTCCGAAGAACCTGCTATCCTGGTCTGAGCAGCTTGCTGATCGACTTGGCGATTGACGCAGTGTCTGTCATAAGAGGAAGGGCGTCTGACCGCTGCAAAAGCCCTCGCCCTCGGCCACGGACGACTGAGTCTTGAACTAAGGATTGGAATCCCGTCTGGGCTTCGTAGTGTTTTCGCCCTGTCGACACCCTGAACATGCCAACTCCAAGATCGAACAACCTCAAACACCTGCACCCCGGCTTCTTTGAGCCGCCTCTGTGTCGCCCTGCGTTTGACATGGAAAACGCGCCTCCCGCCTTGCATCGCAGAACCCCTCAAAATTTCCACCTTGTCATCGTGCGCCGCGCCCTTCTCGCCCCATGTGTCCCGTTGGCCCCAACTGCCCCCGGTTCCCAAACCGGCGGTCCCGTCGACAGCGTTAGCCTTATCTTACGCCCGAACCAGCGGTCCCGCCACACCCACTCCCTTCGAGCCGTTCTAGGTAGGTGTGTCAAATGTGCTTGTCACCTCTTGCTGCCCAGCTGCTTAGATGCTTCCGACTCTCTCCGAGGTCGAGGCTTTCCCCTTCTGGAAGGTTTCGATTTTGCGCGTCACCACATGGACACGCTGTTGCACTGGTCGAATGATGCGTGTTTAGGGGAAAAGATGGACCGATGGGCGAAAGGGCAGCATGTGATCGCGCGCCATTTTCCCGAACATGGTGACCGCACAATCCTCCTTCCTTCCTGCGCGTTGCCGTTGCTCTTGAAGGTGGCTTGGACACATGCCAGATACTTCTACATGAGCTGTATCGCGCGACCCATGCTTTTGAGCACACCGAGCAACGATTTATCTTGGATGCAGTCGACGCAGTTCTTATGCGACGGTCGCGTGCATCAAAGTTCTTGGTATGCGACTGTTATTTCGGTTCGATCCGCGCTCTTCCACCTCTGAACGTGTGATACCATGTACAACGCGTGCTGCTCAAGCGCCCTGATTAAGTTCGCGTAGAGGAACTCAAACTTGGATCATATATGCGGCGGACAACACGAACATTGGTCCTCGTGGCTACTCGACAGCATACATTGTAGAGCCTGGGAAACGACACATGGGCAGGTTATCTGTTTACACGTAATGAAGCCGCTGGAACTGCGCCATGCGAGATCTGCCCCTCTTCTCATATGTCTGGTGGTCAAGTGACATACACGAAGCGATGAGCCCATTGACGTGCATTGCAGAGCTGAATCGCATCGATCAGCCTCCTGGAATCGGCGGAAGTTGTTCGTACGGTGTGCAGGTTCGCCGTTCTTCGCAAAAAAAGGCTTCTCGACTAGCAATTCTGCGACCCTGATTCCTTATCGTGTTCTCGCCCTTCATCTGCTCGTCCTGAAAATGCGTCATCCTAGTTAGGCCGCAATAAATAGAAGCTTGGACCGAGCTCCCAGGAATTAAGTTCAATATCCCATACTGCCTTTTTTTTTCTCGGCCGCAAAGGTTGCTTGTTCCAAGGCGAATGTCGCATCGTGGATCTTGGCAATGCAATAGGTCTGCGGACGGAAAGTCTTGAAGCCCGCACAACCACCTCCTCTGAGAGAAAGATGGCATTACCCCTCTTTCTAGGTGGGAACGAATTCTCTCTTTCAGAAAGTACGAGCGGCTGTTTAGGTGCTGAAGCTCTCGTGCCAGCTCTTCACCGCTGGTGCTCAACCGAATACATTGGAGCTTCCTGATGCCTTGGAATGCCGAGCGTACAGCCACTGTGCGCGAGCTGTGCGCCTGAACTCTCGTGTCTGCATCGGCTGATGGCATCGAACGTTTCTAAAGGAACCTCGAGTGAATAAGGAACGATTCTCCCTTTAATCTCTTGCCGCAAAGTCACGGATACATGTGCTTTAACCTATTTGACAAGCGAATGGTTGAATGGGGGATAAGAACCAGTACGTCTATCCCGGGCATCGACTACAGGCTGGCCCAGCAGCCGACACCGTCCTGTTTTCCGTCAAGACAGCTTCGGGGCTCGTGTCGCGGGCAGCACATATCGCTTGCTGTGGTTTTATAGTGGCGGTGTGGTGCGCAGCACTGCATAGCTCATGGCCACTGACGTCGGCGACGCTCAAGAACGTGATGGAGCCATTCGAACCAGGCATCGAGATGACTATTCCGTCGAGACGCAACAGGTCCGCGCTCATGCTGAATCCGGAGAGGCTTCGAGCCCGGTAAGACTCTCTCCTACAGCTGTCAGGGGGAGAAAGTATCGGTACGGTATCAAGGGGGCATGTCAGGCATGTGCGTTGCATCACGACCAGTCGAGGGGAGAAACGTGCTCAAGTCCTTGTACGCACCTCTCTGTGTTGAGTTTCCATGGGATGGCCTCGGTGTTTCCTCGTTTGTTATGAGCAGAACGTCCACCATAGGGCTGGCGGTCGGTCCATGTGACACAGGACGAGGTCATGTTGAACTCCCTCGAGTATATTGGCCCATCGACACCAAGCCTCAGAGCACCATCAGTGCACATAGGAGCGCATGCCAGTGACCACGGGGTGTACACCGCCACAAGAATCCTTGCTTGACTCTGCGCAACAGCCCTAGATGAGCTTGGGGAGGAACTTCGGCTCGACAACGAAGAAGAGTCGTGAGCTTGAAATGTCAAACACCCGCAAGCCCGCAGAACGTGAACGCAAGGTTGTAGTACGTGCCACCAGCGCAACCATCACATACAAGGCATAGCATTCCAGTCATCCACAAAGGATCGAAGAATTTCATTACTCTGGGTATCTTCTCGTCATAACCTCGTTGCGTCGTCAAGCGACCATCACTGAACCTAAAAGAGCTTTCTTCCAGCCCGGGCCCACAGCACAATGCCGAAACCAAAACACAAACTTGAAAAATCCCATGCAAACGCCAATGCATCAACAGGAGGCGAGCTCATCGTGGAATCCACCCCCGTAGAGACTACGAACGCCGAACCACGGGCTCGGAGAGTGGGCCCCGAGCGAACCCGTCGTCCGAGGCCAGGTCGCTCAAACAATCTCGAGCCGATAATCGTCGTTCCGGCTGAGCTCGTACGACAGGATGGTGTGGTCTCTGTAGTGCAGCATGAGCCTATATCGTCTCGACCCCGGCCCGGCCGTGGTCTTGCCCTCTGGCCGCGCCAGCAGCATGCCCTCCGCGCCGCCCTCCTGCACGGGCCCGACGGCGATGCCGTACAGCGGCCTCGCGGGCCTGCGTCCGGCGTCCTCGTCCGTCTGCGTCGGCAGCACCCAGTCGATGCGGAATCCGTGGCGAGTGGACCAGTCCGTTCCCTGGGGTACGTGGCCCTTGCGCTCGTCGGCAAAGTTGACGCCGCGGTCGCCCGTCGTGGGCGTCAGCAGGACGACCTGCCCGACTGCCGAGCCGACGATGACGAGTGACAGCTCCGGAACGCGTAGCAGCATGTTTAGACGTGCCATGTGGCGGAATACGGGGTGGTGTGGTTGAGCGCTCGTGACAGAGCGGCAGATGACGGCGCGGTGCGGGGTCGAGAGGCGCCGCATCTCAATGTCGGTCGTGTACGTGCGTAATAGGCACGCACGGCTCGTGATATCCCTCAGGGTGGCGGGATCCTGGGGCGTCGTGTTGCGGTTGACCTCGAGGCTGCGCCGGAGAAATGTGGCCTTGTGGTGGAAGGAGGACTGGAAGGCGTAGACTTTGCCTGTATGTGGCAGGTAAAGCATGTCAAGCCAGAAGTTCTGGACGGTGTGCAGCTTTTGTGACGGCAGGCGACGACCGTTCATGGTGCCTTGGAAGATGATCTTGGACTGAGCTGCGACATTTTCCAGCATCTGGGGATGAAGAGGTATGGCGCCTGCCAGTGGAGAGCTGATTTGTGGCGCGAATTCGGCTAGATCTATCGTGCTGCTCCCTGTGAGTTCCCAGGGCCAGACGAGCCCGCTGCTGTTGGAGTCGAGAGCGTCCTCCATATCGTCGTATTCTTGGCTCCCGTCACTTGCCAGAGAGAGGGGTGTGTCGGGAGGCTCAAGCGGTGCACCACCGTCGACATTGTGTTCGCTGTACAAATTCGTTCCAATCGCGTCTCCAACCAGGCCAGCCTCACTGCCTTCGTCGTCGTCGTCGTCTTCTTCTTCCTCGTCATCGTCATCGTCATCATCGTCTTCGTGCTCAGATGTACTGTCATCTAGACCAAGGCCGACTCCCTGACCAAAGATGGCCGCTATCAACTGGTTTGGAGGGTTCATGTGCAGAAGCGTAGCAGGCAGCTGCAGCCCGTGAATCGGGCTATCGCGGACGTGGTTGAGGCTCTCCGATATGTCTATCACGCTCGTATGCGCAAAGCCCGGTGCTGTCCGAATCTCGTATTCGACAGTGGTAGGCTTCTTGGTGCCAAACGCATCACTCGACGTCGTCGCGCGCATTGCACCTGTGAGAGGTACGACCATGACACCCCAGCCGCTACGACGAGCGCGTCAGTGCCAAAGAATACATGCGGAGTGAGATGGCACGAATGGCCTTGCTTACCCCTGTGGCACCCTGATCATGTTCGCACTGCCCTGGTCGCTATGCGCGATCCGATACGGAGCAGTGCAGGGCTTCCAGATGTCGAGAATCCAGGTGTTGCCGTAGATGTCTACCGCGCACACCTTCTCGGCGAGCCCGTTCTTGTCGTCCCAGAACGAAACGTTGGGGATGTTGTGTCCCTCCTCCCCCAGGAGCAGGACGATGCGCCAGTTGCGCTTGCGGCCCGCCACGAGCGCGACGGGAAAGTCGTGCTTGTGTCCCTTCTTGGCGCCCCCCGGCTGCTTTGAGAGACCAAAGGCGAAGACGGTGACCTCGCGTCGGTTGGAGCTGACGGCTATGAGGCGAGATTCCTGGTGAACAGCGACGCCCCAGGCTGAGGAGCCGACGTTTTCGCGAAAGAACGGCCGCGGGATCGGGGCCGCCTTGACCGCGCTGGCAGCGGCGCCGGGTGGTCGAACATGGAGGAGGACGTATTCGGCAATGTGTTTGGTATAATATGCGATAACCGACCCGTCGTCAAACACAAGCAGGACAATCTCCTGGTGACCGAGGAATCCCGTCGTGATGGCGTTGGCCTGGTGAGAGAAGCGGCGGTCCATGGTGCCGCCCACGTACTCGGACATTCGGTCGGGACCCGTCGCAAGGATGAGATCGGCATCTTCGGGAATCGTCTGTCGTGGCACATCTCGAGGGCGGTAGACGAAGAGGCGGTTCTCGTAGGCGACAAAGTAGAGCTGAGGAGGGGCATGTCAGTTGGGATCGAACGTCGTGCGCAGAGCAGAGCAGAGCAGGGTAGTGGCGGGGGTTCCTACGTTGTATTTCTGCGACAAGGCAGTTAGGTTGTTGCGGTAGTAGGGCATCCGCGGGACTCTCCTCTCAGGAGAGACAGGTTCGCCATTGACGCTGGCAGGCGGACCGCCGGTGTAGAACTGGCCTGTCGGTACGCCGTTGGTGAGGTCGTGCTGGACGGTGCCGTCCGAAGACTGGTGGAAGTCACTGTCTCGTTCTCGTACGACGTCGATCACGTCTGGGCCAAACTGTGTACATGGGGAAGGTGTCAGTATGGCATTTCGCACAGAGGCTCAGCAGAATGCTCACGCGTGCTGTCGCCGTCTGCACCTGGCATTTCCCCACGGTTACTTCGCGGAACGGACGGTAGGCCATCGTCTCCTACGAGAACCAAAGGCGCAGTCGGCCTCGTCGGACATAGATGCTGTTGGGTGCCGGGTGTTTGTGTGCTTGAGAGCGGTGTTGCCACACAGAAATTGTAAAGAGCGGCCTGGAAGAAGGGCGAGGAGCAAGAACGCGGTTTGCATGGATTGGTGGCACCGGCTGTCTTGTCGAGTTGCAAACAAAGGTCAACGACCTAGGCGGTCCTCATGCGATGTTTCCCACGAGTGGATGAATCGAAGAACAGCCGCGCGGGCGCCGCTGAGGCTCGAGGGGTCAGCCCCACTCCTGTGCTGTATCGATAAGCCTCGCCGCGGCATGACGTTCCGTACCCAAGGTACCTACCTACCTTACCCAAGGTACCTACCTACCTTACCTAGGTAGGTAGCGTCAGGGTGCCCAGCACTGTTTTCGTGATGCAGAACAATGGCTTTCATGGCACGAGAATGGTAGTGTAACAAGATCACCGAAGGCGACGGAAATCAGAATGAAGCCAGCATCCAACCGCTTTTCATATACATCATGTCAAAACAAACCTCATTCACTAGCTGTCCAATCCTCATGTGGAAGCTATCCAGAACGCCATGTCCAGGGTGCCTGCGATTCGTACACCCGTTCGTCATTACCAGAACCCCTCATAATTCATCGTGTCCCTCAAAAGTGCCTTGCTTCATCATTTCCGCCATGTCTTTCATGCGGTAGTCGAGCACTGGAGTCTTCCAATCGTCCTCGACCAGCGCATACGTTTCCGTCGTGTTCGCCTTTGGCTTCCGCGGGTTGATGGCCCAGTAGCCAAAGTCGGCGTCGACGACCTTGAGATAGCGCACGAGGTTCTGCCAGTAGTTGGCGTCGCCCATGCTCGGGTCCCTCGGCGCCCCGAACTCTCCGACCCAGACGGGCGCCTCGTCGCCCTCGACGAGGTAGCCCCAGTTCTCCCGCATGGCGTGGACAAATGAGGCGTACCCCCTCTTGGCGAACCGTCCCTCGAGGCTGCCCCAGCCGGACCAAGCGTACACGTGCGCCGAGTACACGACCCTACCCGGTACATCGAGCCTCACGGGCCGCTCGGCCACGCCGCGAAGGTCGTTGCCCGACTCGGTCCCGCCAACGACGATGAGCCAGTCAGGATTCATCCTGAGCAGCCTGTTGCCGGCCCTCTCGGCGGCGGCGGCCCACTTGCTCCACGGCATGGTACCCCAGACGCCGCGCACCTCGTTCCGCAGGTCGGCGCCGATGACGAGCGGGTTGTCCACGAACCGCGCCATGACGGCCTCCCAGTTCCGGATCCAGCCCTCCTCCGTCTGGCGCACGCGGCACAGCGGCCCCAGGTGATCGTTCGCCCACCCGGCATCGCAGGGATCGGCGCCGCAGCACCACGTGGCGTGCGTGATGTGGTTGTTGACCACGACGGCGAGCCCCGCGTCCGTGAGGGCCGTCGTCACGGCCTCGAGGACATCGAGGGCGCGCTTGTCCGCGAGGTCCGGGTTCGCGGCCACGACGCGCGCGTCGACGACGGGGTTGGCCGTCACGATTTCGTCGGCGTAGGGGAGCCTCACGCTGTTGAAGCCGAGGGCGCGGATGGTGGCGGCAATGTCGCGGCGGTGGCGGATGTCGAGGCCGCCGGGCACGAAGAGCTCGTCAGAGGCGCCGTACCAGTTGACCGAGAGGAGCTTGAAACGGCGGCCTTCGGTGTCGACAATGTTGCGGCCCCTCGTGGCCAGGGGAAGTTGGTACGTCGTAATGTCGTCTTTGGCGGGGAGCGGTGTCAGCGGGACCTCGGCGAAGAGGCGGGATGCTGGGTCGGGGACCCAGGGAACATTGATGGTGGTCTCTGCGCGCCAGAGATGGTGGATGTACGCTCCGATCAGCAGGAGGGACATGACGAGAAACATGTTGCGTCGGAGAAACCTCGCAATTCGCCCTACGACGCAGGCTGTGTTGCGTGCCAATCGACGAGCAAGTGGTGATACGTGATATCGCAGTGTCGTTGAACGATGTCGAGCTGAGGATGGCGTTGGTAGGTGAATTGGGCCCAGACCGTGTCTGCCATACTCCGTTGGCGTTTCTGTAGGGATCAATGCAAAATCGTCGTCATTGCCGTCATTGTGGTCAAAGGTAGAGCGCCCCGTCGACGATTGTTCAACGTCGTCAAGCCGGGTTCCGAGCCTGGTGCTCCCAAAGCTTCTCTCGGCTTGAAGAGGTCGGGTCCAGCTCCATGCTCTGACCCTAGTAGTGGCCTGGTCGGGGCTGCAGCTGCCGCCCACAGCGGATGTCATGGCTCCCGGTCGCACTGAGGTCGCCCCCGCCCACGGCCGTCTGTGCTGTGGCAAGGGAATATCCAGAGCACGTGGTGCCAGATTGTTCCTGTCACGCACGATTCAGGCCAGCCAGGGCAGCAGCCAGGGCACAGGGCAGTCACCAGGGCCCGGCGTCACACCCGGGAAGCGGCACTTCGGCCGTGCCTGCCACCTGCTCCGTTGCAAGGTCGACGTTTCCTCACGAGAGGAGAGGAAACCAGAGAAGGGCAGAGATGGAAGGAGGCGAGGGCGGAGGGAAATGGACCTCTGCAGCGTCTCAAGACCCTCACTCAAGACACTGAGCAAGGAGTTGCAGGCGACAGGGCCGTCAAAAGATCGACAAAGCAGCGCCCGTTTGTCTGTCTCGACTGCGTCGCCTCAGCAGAATCAGACTTTTGCTTCCTCGGTAGCCTCCCTCAGACTAGGTAGATGGGTAGGTACATGAAGTGCATGGTACGTACGGCCGGGGCCCCGAAATGAAAAGAAGAAATGAAGGAGAAGATCAACTCGCAGCGAATGCACCCATCTGAGTCGCCTATTTCCGTCTTTAAATCAAATACCGGACGCCGATCCGATGCACCGAGTAAGCTTTCCTGGGGGGAGGCGCTGTCAGACATGCAGCCCGCAACCATGTCGTCCTCCGAGCATGCCGAGCCAAATTGTGGCGATGCGGGCGAGCCGCCTCGCTCTTCAATATCCGCCCCTTCCGGGGGCGCTCTGCTGCTGTCCTCTCGAGTGCATGACCCCTCGCCCGACGACATCCGTCCGCCCAGACCCGCCGTCCCGCGACGTCGAGAGCTTAATGTGAGCCACAGCCTACCTCTTTTTAGCGTTGAACATCAACATTGTTGTACAGCATTGCCATATCAGTAGTCCCAATTGTTGAAATCGTTGATACTCTTCTTATTCACTGCCCTCCCCACCTGCTGTCGGGGGCAACACCATTCGTGACATTAGGGCCTCGCAAGCTTGCCCATCCGCTCCTTTCACCGAACTATACAGTAGTGGTATCTCGAGGACGTAGCCTCGTGTGTTCCTCCTCGACAAATTTCCAACGAGTGATAAATAAAAAAAAATCCGAGACGCCGGCGCTGATCCTACATCGCATTCGTCACTGTATACGACCTGGCTCGACTCATGGCCATTCTGCCCTTTGCCCCCCCCCCTTGCCTTTCCGGCCCAAGTCGATATGAACATGGCGTGTGTCCGCCTCATGGTGTAAATGATGGTGCTCGTAAGCCAATATGTAATGGAAGGGCACGTATGTGCAGTGAGCGATCGTGGCTCGTAAATATAATACCTCTTCTCCTCCTATGTTGAGTCCGAGGCGCCTGAGGCTTTTCGTTTGTGTATTTTCGTTTTCTTTCCCTTTTTTTTTTCTTTCAATCGTACTGATTGGTTGAGAATCAGATCCTGTTCATCCCCAACGGGTTCATGTCCTCGAACCCCTCGGGGCTGTGCCGCCTTTCAGGACGCACATGCGTTGGCCTCATCTCCCAGCCGTCGTTGGCAGGCGGGCTTCGTGGTGGCCGTGGGCTCGAGAACGACCGTTCAGGTGCGTGGTATCGTGCAGTCTGCCCGAAGTAATCGGGCGTTCTGCGGCCGCTCGGTGGGCTGGCAGGTGTTTTGACTGGGTCAATCGGTGTTACCGCAGCGCTCGAGTCAACAGAGAGCATCTCGTACGCACGAGTATCTTTCTTGGCATCCTGCCGGGCGTCCACGGAAACGAATTCCTTCTTGCTGTCACCGCGGAACGACCTGAAGAGGTCAACCCAGCCGGTGACCATGGACCATCGTCCGAGGAGGATAAGCAACCAGATGCCGTTGATCTGCACAGAAATGTTAGTGGCGGTCGTGCTGGTTCGCAACTGCAAGTAGGCTTACCGCGAGAAGGATCAGCACTGCCATGATGGTAGCTTCGTTGACGACGAGAGGTTTTGCCAAATCCAGACACTTGTTCTTATCGCCGCTGGAGCCGAAGAGGCAGAGAATCCAAGGTTCCGCAATGGTCTTGTCCTCACGCACAGCTTGCACCGTGACGTCCTGGAAAACAAAGATGACGGAGAAGAAGATGACATCGCAGATGATGATGAGCACAATCGTGATGCCTCTCCACTGTAGTGCAATGACGCGGCGCACACGTCGGTATGCTTGGCGGGGGGTCATGGTGCGCGCACTAGCGGCATACTGCGGCAGGCTTGAGCCTTCGGTCGAAGCGCTGTTGTCGGCCAAAGAGGCTAGGTAGACCTTGATACAGTAGCCAAACGTGGCGAATTGTATGATGACGGTCAGGCCGGCAAAGACCAACAGGGGAATCCAAAAGGTGGCCAAACTATTCTCGTGGTTGATGTGGCAAGTCGCACCAAATCGGAAGGAGACTCCGCTGAAGAGGAGGGCAACGAGAAGCGCAATGGCGGGGAAGCCCCAGCCGGTGGCCTGAGAGATGAGCATGAAGTTCCGGCCGACGACGGCCTGCCAGCAGATCTGTAGGTGAAGAGACACGGCTCGCAAGAAAACCCACATGACGCCGGCGAATCCGCCCAGCAGGAGGAAAGATCCGGAAGCGCCACAGACGCCGCTGGTGTGCATGTTGTGGGGCGTGATGTCGTTGATACATTCTTGTGGCTGGGCCGCCAGCGGAATGACAAAGCCCATCTGGAAGGGGTTTGGGTTAACATCTTGCGGACTGGCATTGCTAAAAACGAGCGAGACTCACGTTCATGAGCATGACGGCACAGACGAGACTGATGCTCAGATAATGACGACTTGTCTTGTCGACGGGCAGGAACGCCCACGACAAGAGCAAGAAGAGGCAGCACAGAACGCTGGCGACACATATCCAGTTCGCAACTGCTGTCAAGGTCTCGAAATAGTCAGGATATACCCATTCTGTCATGGGACATGGCAAACAGCACGACAGAGTTTCGGTGATGTTCTGGCAAAGCCGGCCATCGATATCTAAAGAAACGGGATTAGTTGGCCGCGCTAGAACAGCATCTTGGCATCACTTACGCCCTTTGTCGGGGGGGAATCCAGCCGCGGAGATGAACGGCTTGGGGCAGCCAGACCCCAGGAGGTTGTTGGACATTGTTGTTGGATGGTGATGAAAATAGGTATGATGTCTACTCCGAAGCAAAGAACAAGGCGGTCCCTGGACGGTTGATGTCGTATTCAAGAGTATTAGGCGGCGCCGGTGCAGTTGTGTACGAGGCCGAGACTGGTTGTAGCGGGTGTACTGCTGTGAAAGCAAAAGGGACGTGACGTGCCAAGGCGCAACGCTGCGCGTGTGGGAATGGTGGAGAGCCGCGGATTGGAAACGGTGACCAGTGTCAGAAATCCTCCATCAAGGACAGTTTCTCATTCGCACTGATGAGGGACTGGATCACGGTGGCCGTGCTTGGGACGAGCCGATATAAGTCGTCTGGCTGGACCACGCTCTAGTGGGTAGAATAAAAATTATTATGTGACCGTGGCGTTTGCTCGATCTCGTCAGTCAATGCGTAGGTTGAAGTCGAAGTCGGTACCGCATAACGTGTACAGCTATCAGACGTAAGAGCCGGCGGGGTGGTTCGTTTGATACAAGGCGTAAGGTCTCAGATGTTCATGGATGGCGTGGACGGACGTAAAACCAGAGATCCCTTTCCCTTGGACTAAGAAGAGAAAGGGGAGGGGAGGAAGATATGTATAGGCAGCGGGCCGCGATGGCGGGTGCCGGGGTCTGCTTGTGTACCTTCTTGTTCTTTGCTACGGATCCCGCTGCCTAACAGGTACGGGGGATAGACAAGAGGGTCGAAGTCTGGGACTGGGGTAGCACGTCCGCGCACCCAACCACACATCAACGAAGACTCGGGACGGGTATTTCTCTCGTTGATGGAGCTCTCTCTCCATGCGCTAGCATCGAGTGCTGGGACTGGTCGGACCGGGGGGGGGACAAGGGGAAAGGGGGGTCGAGACAACGCCGCCAATAATGAAGGTTTCCTGGTCTGGTCTGGTCTGGGGTTCAAGGGCCATGGAAACCCGTCATGGTACATGTACCTGCGAAGTTCTTGCGGTGGCCTTTTTTGCTGGATCGTGCTCTTCCGAGGGAAGTCATGGGGGAGGGGGATACCCCTGGAGATGACGAGCTGACGGGCGACCCTCTCTGGTATCTGGGCGCCGAGGCGGAAGAAACCCATGGCGCGGCGAGAGATTTCGCCCCCCATTCGAAGCGCATGAGGGCCCCAAAAGACGTCCTGCAAAGACGATTGGAAGTTAGCGGGGGGGCAGCAGGTCTGGCCGCAGCAATGCGGCAAGCGAGCGAGGGACGACGATGCTTGGGGCTGCAGGGGCATCGATTGATGCCATGCGAGGATGTGAAGCAGGGTGGTTGCCCCTCTTACCCCCCTGATCCCTGACTTTGGCGACAAGGGAAAGGGGGTGTGTGAAGATCACACTACAGGACCCACCCTTCTCAGCCCTCCACTCCACCACCCCAATCACGACGCGGCCGCGGTGCGATGCGGACTTTGCAGGTACCAACCACACTTGCCTCACATATGGCGTTGGCAGGAGTCCCCCGGCGGACTGGCGGGACCTGCCACTTGAACACACAAGTACCTACCCGCTAGCAGGAGGATGTTGCTGGAGATTGAATCTTTTGCTCTAATCTCGTTCCTGCCTTGGTACATAAGCACCTAACTACCTTGAGTAAGGTATTTCCAGACTTTAGCTCCCGCCCCGAGATGGTCCCCCCAAGGACACTCAATCGGCTGGAGAGTCGTCATAGAGAGCTGGAAACGCTCATTGCGGGAGGTTGTCACACTGGGGATGACTTAGTCGCCTGCTGTGCCGCCAGTCAGCACTGCAGTCGCGTCTTGCCCTGATGACACTGGCTGAGGGCTCGAGGTGACCAGCGAGTACGAGTCCAGAATAGGGCCGGTCGTGACTGCCCGCTGGCCCGCTGCCCCGCCAGGGCGTCAGACAGCCGTCGTCGGTCCCCGTCGCCTGTAAAAGTGGCGAATCGTAGGACGTACAGGGGGCCTGTTGTCAGTATCGCAAGCTTCTTGGCAGTGAGTGTGCCCTGTCCATCCTTGATGATCAGATTGATCCTTGGGTGTCCACTGTCCACACTGGAGAGAAGCCTGGTTGACAGCCAAGACGCGACAGTCCGGTCGTCCTGTCGCGCACCGAACAGGAGCGGGACCCTCATCTTGCCTCACAAGAGGCGTCATGATCAAGATCTAGCGGCAAGCACACGCAGTCGATGCTTCCTGCCAATCTGAGGTGCCGGTCCTGCCTACGCATCACAATCGACCTACGGCTGAGTGGAGTGGCCCTCTTGCTCTTGAGCTGACGTCGTGATGGCTCAGTAGCCTTCTTCCGTTTCCAGTTGCCCAATGTTCATATCCCTCCAAGAGCAAACAAATCCATGATGCGTCCCAGCCAGGCGCCGCCATCATCACCGCCATCACACACCCACCTATCTCACCGTACTCATGTCTCGGCTCCGCATCAGCGTCGGCGCACCTCAAGCGCCACAACCTCCTCTGTCTGAATCAGATTCCCCTCCACTAGAGCCTGCACTGTCATCACACCGCACCCCCCAGTTTTGCTTCTGCACCCAGTTGTCGAGTTGCGACACCACCTGCAGTCGATGAGTTCAGACGGAATCGCCCTCGTGATCGCATCGCCATTCTCGTCGTGGGCGCTGGGCCATTTCTACTAGCACAACCCGGTTGTCTCACAACGTTGGTTCAACAAAGGTTGGACCGCCATCTTGGCTAGCTTCTCGGCTTGGTTTGAACCGACCAACTCTTCAGCGTAGCAACCGTTACAACTCTACTGGCCGGAACCCACCCGAACGTCCCCTACTTGGCTCAATGACAGATGGCCGTTTCAGGCCAGCAGGGCCTCTCTTGGAATGCCTAAAATCACGACCCACGACACTTGCGGGTGCCCACTTGGGTGCGTTTGCCTTCGAAGACCACCGCCGCAACAGTAACCAGTCCCAGTTAGTCGCCCTCCCCACCCCTCCTGCCAGCCACGTACCGGACGGTTGGTCTGGGTTCAGGGTGGGCTGACGCCGTCAGGACGGCCCAAGGGCACCCACCCCGTCATGGACGTGCGGCGTGCGACTGACACACAGACGCAGGAAGACCACCACTATCCATGAGCCGTCTACGAAACAAACACTTGTCGTGGCACTGTCCCGTCGCTCCCAGCCCGACCATAAAGACTATTTGTGTCCGTCTCTTGAGTCGTGTAGTCCGAACCGATCGGCACCGAGTCGCAGGCCAGACCGGCAATTGTTCACATCACCTGCCGGCTGTCTTCGGCTCCGATTTGATAGGTGATCCAGATTGCGCTGGCTAGGCTGATCATCATAATAAATCTTGATCTTGCTGGCTTGCGCCACAGTACTGGAAAGAAAAGCAGCGCGGCTTCGATCCTAAAGAAGCATGTTGTATGTACGGCATGATGGTGGCTGTCTGAATGCGCTGATCAACCCAGCCATCGTCTCCAAATGTGTTCCATTTGACAGGGCGACGCTGGTTGCTTGTTGGTCAGACCACTCCTGAGCTATGTCACCAGCCTGTCAGTGGTTTGGCGAATTCACTGCACACGACGTATATACCACCCTGCCAATAATGAGTACCTTTTCGCAGCCCATCGGTCCAGGTCCGACCAACGATACGTCTGGATCTTGTATTCAATCTGGTCTCGCCCTGTTAAGCGCGTCAGTCCTTTGGCGACCCTGGACTGGGAAGCAATATCACATTTTTGCCGATGGCCGTTGACAGCGGATTGGCCACACCAGCCGCTCCTCTGGCCAACCACTCCAGCCTCGGGGGGGAAACAAGCAAGAGCCATTTGTGGAATGCCATTCTCGAGCTGCTATAGGAGCAACCCATGGGTGACATGACTGAGGTAAACTTCACCATCATGTGTCGCACAATATAATGATTCGTCCCGACGGTGTTGACTCACGAAAATTTACTCTCATTGATTGCAGCACTCATGTCCCAGACAATGGCCAAGTACGACGGGGTTTGCCCAATGGCGAACGGAACCACCCTTGGCCTGAAGCAGGCAGGCATCTTAGGGTGAACAAGGACAGCTAAACAATAACTGGCTTGAACACTGAGCATGACGTCCCTATGGTAGGTGTTGTACAACAAGTAGCGTTCACCGTATGCAAACCGATCTTGCGATAAGGGAATTGGCTCGGATGCTTCAACAGCTGCACTACAAATCCTGTGGGCAAGGTGTCGCAGTCCGCGTCAGCCCAAAGAAGAAGCCGGAGCACGATGGCTTTGGCAGCCCTTGTGCTGACGTGCCTGCTCCCCTGTCTTCTAGAAACACCACGCCTACCAAACAGGCAGGTCATGGCGGGCTTCTGTGACATTGCTTCTTCGGCATGGCCAGGAATTCGGCTTTCAGCGTTGAAATGTCCGTCTGTGCCATCATACTTCCTTCTCCAGATCCACAGCTGCAGCTGTCAAGAAGAGAGAGGCACACCGCACAGTCTTGATCAGGACTGCCGTGACCACGAGGTGAAAAAGCAAAGGCAACGTCAGTCACTCCCGAGGCTGCGCTAGATCACATACAACCGCCACGAGGTGTGGGCAATTTCGCCCCATCGTCGCATTTGGCTACGTTTTGATTCTACGACGATGGTACTTTCTCCGGCCTATAAAATGACCTGGGCTACGATGGGAAACTAGCTGGGTAAGTCGTCATACTCTGTGGAGTTTGAGATCGGTGCTGCAATAGCCCTACATACTCTTCACCACGCTGCTTGTCACAATGAGGGCCACGCCTGACCAGAATTGCCCATTATCGAGCTTGTCCCACAGGGTCCTTTGCCTGGATCGACGCACTCGACTACCCCGAGACTGGTCTACATGTAGTCCGACCGACAGGTTTACTTCTCGGCCGCATCTATGCAACCAGAGCTCAGCGACTTGACAGAAGACAGCATACTCTGAACTCGAACATAATACCTCTAACACAGAATTCCAAAACGAGATTGCGATCCCAACAGGAAAATGCCAATAGCGCAAATAGGAGCAGGAGGGAGGGCGAAGGGGCAAGCAGAAGCAGTTGTTG